TTAAGGAATGATTTTTATTTTTTCAACATTTATGAGGTCATAACAACAATGGGTTTATGGACATATTGAATGAATCGCGTTAGCGATTCATGTAAAATATGTCCAAAAACCCATTGTTGTTATGACCTCATAAATGTTGAAAAAATAAATATCATTCCTTATATTTACATTGACGAATCCTTTCAGTGGATCGATATAACAACGAATAAAACAAATAAACAGGGTTTGTTCCTGCTTATACACGGGTGCAACGCAGTGGCGAGAACAGTGTTTTTTCGCGGGGAAATGTGACACTATCGTGAGAGATCTTAGCAACCGTCAACAACAATAACACAACAAAATGTAGTTCCATATTCAATGTTTATTTGTAGCACAGGACACGTGAATACGTGGATATTTCACAAAGCACAGTTCAATATTATTTTAAGATGTAAGAATTAAGCATCTAGGTCGGTCGTTCCGAGTGAGTAGTTTTTGTAGTGTATTACTACGCAGTGTGATCAGGTTACTATCAGTTCCCACGTGCTGAGATTCTATGAACACCTGTGTTATGCATTTATGAATGTAATTTTTGTCAATGGGTCTTAGCATACAGAATGTAAATATAATAGGGAATATAACGTGGAAATAGAAACACTTTATTTGTAACATATTCACCTACGGTCAATGATAAGATAATGTGAATGTGATCAGTACTAATTATCATGTAAATATTGACTCAGTTATAAAACAATAATCATTTTAGTTTGGGACAAATGAGAATACAAGTGTATCAACAAAAGCGTAATTAGGACTTTAAAATCGATAAAACAAATCAATGAATGAAGGTCAGATGAGGATAAGACTAGGTGATCCGGAAGGGTTATCGATGACATCGACTATTTAAATCTATGTCAAATCCGTGTATTATCACGCCCTCAAAGTGAGAGCAGATGCATTGACATCGAAACCACAATGCACATAAATGACGGTCATCTAACGCATCGACGTTCATTTCATTGAAAGAAATTTCAAATTATCTCACTGAGATCAAGGTAGCGACCATAAAACATCTCCATAGTCTAAATAAACCCGCATCTCTTGAAACCTTTTGTTACATGTATAAGTGTATCCGTTAGTAGTTGAAATCTAACACGGATATCATGAATACAAATTAAAATGATACACATAAATAGCATAGGTTTCGGAAGCAAGAAAGCTTTCTTGAAAGGGAGATATTATGATAGGAAATTCGAAACCCTCACGCTTACTATACATCCTATACGTAATTCGTCCCTGTTGGTCATGTTGTAAATAAAGAACGAGGAGGGTAGAAGATCCCGCAGTGTCTGAACAAGTTTTTTGTTATCAGTCCTGATAAAGTTATTGATTAAATTGAATGAATACAGCTTCGTATGAAAACAAGAACAAGCCGGCCAAAGAAATGTTTAAGTTTGCTTGAAAATCTTGCCACCAAACAAACTAAACAAAGATATTGCAAACCATGAACTAAATTATTTTCACGTTCAATATATTTCATTTCAACTTTAGTCGTGTTTTTGTTCTCAAAATATGATCCTAAATCGTTTACAATCTCACATTTATGTCGCCGTTGGCCTTTCTGTGCAAAGGGGTGAGAAGAGATTCAATCCGGTTTGCTATAAGGCCTGGTAGTGTAAAGTGTGGATAGAACAAACGTTCGGACAGGACAAATAGGGTTTGAGATGAGGAGGCTCAAATTTGATCACACTGACCTTATATTTACATTCTGTATGCTTAGACCCATTGACAAAAATTACATTCATAAATGCATAACACAGGTGTTCATAGAATCTCAGCACGTGGGAACTGATAGTAACCTGATCACACTGCGTAGTAATACACTACAAAAACTACTCACTCGGAACGACCGAACTAGATGCTTAATTCTTACATCTTAAAATATTATTGAACTGTGCTTTGTGAAATATCCACGTATTCACGTGTCCTGTGCTACAAATAAACATTGAATATGGAACTACATTTTGTTGTGTTATTGTTGTTGACGGTTGCTAAGATCTCTCACGATAGTGTCACATTTCCCCGCGAAAAAACACTGTTCTCGCCACTGCGTTGCACCCGTGTATAAGCAGGAACAAACCCTGTTTATTTGTTTTATTCGTTGTTATATCGATCCACTGAAAGGATTCGTCAATGTAAATATAAGGAATGATATTTATTTTTTCAACATTTATGAGGTCATAACAACAATGGGTTTTTGGACATATTTTACATGAATCGCTAACGCGATTCATTCAATATGTCCATAAACCCATTGTTGTTATGACCTCATAAATGTTGAAAAAATAAAAATCATTCCTTAAATAAAAACTCTACAACCCATGTTTCTTGTATTCCACTTCTGGAGCATGCTTTGTCGCGATACGACTGTATCCGAGATATAAGAAAAAAGCAGTTTTGATAATGGCTTAGTTGAACAACTAGCAGGGCCCACGACTGAACGTTGTTCATATGACTTATAGGATATCTTCGGAATCCATTGAAAACGAGGCTGGTTTGTTTCCTTATCATTACCGGGTACTCGGAAAGATTGTAATACAGAAGCATAATTTGATAGCATTTCGTCTATCGAAAAGAAAGTAGAAAAGGTGTGGATAGAGTGTCTGTGGTTTCAAAGATGCAATGTATCTTCAAAGGAAGAGCCCCCAAAAAATAAACTTTAGGCAACTATAGCATTAGTTAAACATGTAACCATATTAGGAATAAAGATTCTCATTAACTAAAAGTCCTTGCCTACGGTTATGTAGATACTTAATGCGCCAAGACATCAACTAAAGGAGTATTTAAACTCCCGCTATTTGACTTGTAGTCCACCATGATTAACCAGCTAACCAATTACCATGTCGTTACGTTCGCCGTCTCTTCATTGCTGTCACCTAGTCTGAAACTTGATTATGATTTCGAAAGAACGAAATCGTTCATTTTCGCGAGAAAAACTATCAGTTTAAGACAGTTTCCATTCACGTGAAAATAGATATTTAGGTAATCGATCGATTAAGATGTCATTAGTTTCCACGTGAGTCCCACTTTCATCAGAGCAGGTCCTATGACTTTTAAATCAGTCAGGAGTGCATATAAAATCTTGACGTCCCCAGAAGATATATCTGTAATCAAATGAATTATGGCAAGCCAACTTAACATTTATTCAAGGAGCAATGTCGAACCTGTATTTCATCGATTAATATAAGATATCTTATATAGCATATGAGATATCTTATATACTATATGAGATATCTTATATAGAAATTAAATGAGATGCTATATAAGATATCTTATATATTACATAAGATATCTCATATAGTATATGAGATATCTTATATACTATATGAGATATCTTATATATTATATGAGATATCTTATATACGATATAAGATATCTTATATAGGATATAAGATATCTTATATATTATATAAGATATCTCATATAG